GGGATGAAAAATTGGTCCCAGGGAAGGGGTCGAGACCCCTGGGGGTCGACGCTGTGAAAAAATCACGGCGTCGGGGGTCTGGGACTTGCGCCAGATCGTCCACGATCTGCTCCAGATTGAATTTGATGTTCGTGGATTCCCCTCGATCTGCCTGTCCTGGTCTCCTCAAATCGACTGGGAGAAACGTGCCGGATCATGGCACGGCAGTTGCTCCCGCCACTGCTGATCGCCCTCCCTGGGGAGACCGACAGGTACCAACGCTGCTGCTCCCCGGACCTCTCCTGGGGTGCGCTCTAGAACCTGAAGGGGCTCCAGGACACGCAAATCAATACACACAAAGAACCGTATTCCCCGTATTTTCCTATATTTTCTGGGTTTTTGTCTTCCCCCTCACTTCCCATATTTCCCCATATTTTCTGGGAGTCGACGATGAATTTTGTCTGTGTGTTTCTTCCCCTCCCGAAAACTAATATTTGGAGGCGAACGCAGCCGTGGCGACGAGGGGCTCCCAGCAGGCCCAGGCGAGGCGAGTCCGAGGGATATGCAGCTCTTCCTCCCCTGACTTCCTGCCTCCCTCCTCGCCCTCCAAGGCCCTCATCCCCGCCGCCCTCCTCTGCGCCGGCGGGCCCTCTCCCCTCTCCTCCCCCGCTCCCCCGCCTCTTCCTTCTCCTCGCTCATTCCTTTCCCGCTCCTCCCCTGCCTCTCGTCCTGCTCCTCCTCCTCCTCGTTCCTCCCTCCCTCCTTCCTCCCTCCTCCCTTGCTTCTCTCTCCTCCTCCTCCCTCCTCCCTCCCCCCTCCTCCCTCCTCGCTCCTCCCTCCTCCTTCTCCTCTTCCTCCTCCTCCCCCCTGCTCTCCTCCTCCTCCTCCTTCTCCTCCTCCTCCTCCCCTCCTGCTCCTCCTTCTCCTCCTGCTCCTCCTCCTCCTCCTCCTTCTCGGCGTCCTCTTCCTCGGCGCTCCTCCCCTTGAGATCCGACGCCACGGGGAAGTGGCAACTTCGTGCAAGAAACTCCGGCCAGAGCCCTGGACCTCGCCTTCCTGTGGCCCCCCAGGGAGCCCCACCGAAGGCTCAAGTGGCAAGACTCGCATGGCGGCGCCGCCCATTTCGGCACACTCCTCACACGACTCGTGGCCCCAGAGAGGGCCCCATGCCACAATGGCAACGCCCGCGGCATCCCCCGAGCCAGATCGATCCGCGAGGGTCCCTGGGCCCGAGCCAAGGCAAACTCGCCCGCTGTGTACACATAAAAGCCGCGACGCCGGGAACTCGGGGTCGGTCCAACCCCCTGCCATAACTCGGCTCTCCGGCGGCCGTTCGGGACGATCCGGGCATCCCCAGAGCGGCCTCGGCGAGGCGACGCCGCTGGAACGCACCCCGAGGCCAAAAAACCGTCGAGAGCCGACGAAAACGGCCGAAAACCTAAAACTTCGAACCTCGAAGCTTCGAACCTCCCTCTGGAAGCGCCGCTGCCGCTAGCAGCGCCCCCCCTCCCCGGCGCGCCTCGCGGATGTCCACCGCCAGGCCGCCCCGGTCGCTGGCGCTCCCGACGTGCTCCGACGGGATGCCGGTCGAGTCCGGGCTCGCGGTGCGCGCGCGCGCGCCGGGAGGCAGGCCCGAGGCGCGATATCTTCGCGAATCCCTCACCACCGCTCGTCGTCGTCGTCGTCGTCCTCCTCCTCCTCCTCCTCCTCCTCCTCGTCCTCCTCCTCCTCCTCTTCCTCCTACTCCTCCTCGACTCCTCCTCGTCCTCGTCGTCCTCGTCCGCCAACTCCTCCTCCTCCTCCTCCTCCTCCTCCTACTCTCCTCCCTCCCTGAACTACTTCCTCTTCCCTTGCTCTCACTCCCGCCTCCTACTCCTCTTGCTCAATCCCTCCTCCCCTCCTTCCTCTTGCTTGCTTCATCCCTCTATCCTCCTTCTCCTCCTCCTCCTCCTCCTTCTCCTGCTCTCCTCTACTCCTCCTCTTCCCTCCTCCTCTCCCTCCCCTTCCTTCTCTTGCTTTGCCTCTCCTCCCCTCCTGCCCTCTCCCCTCCTCCTTCCTCCCTTCCCTCCTCCTCTCCTCATCCTCCCTCCTCCTCCTCCTACTCCTCCTCACTTCTCCTCGCCTCCCTGAGAAGCCCTTACCCTTATCCTCCACATCCTCGTCCTTCTCGTCCAACGTCCTTCGTCCTCGTCCCTCGTCCTCGTCCTCCTCCTCCTCCTCTCCTCCTACCTCCCTCTTTCTCCCTCTCCCCTTCCCTGACCTCTCCCTCCTCCTCCTCCTTCCTCCTCTCCTCCTTCCACTCCTAACTGCCTTGCTTCCCTCTCCGCCTCTCCTCGCTATCACTCCCCTCCTCCCTCTCCTCCTCCTCCTCTTCCCCTCCTCCTACTCCTCCTCCTCCTCCTCCTCCTCCCTCCACCTCCTCTTCCTCCTCCTCCTCTCCAACTCCTCTTCGCCTCCTGAAGAAGCCCCTTGACCTCCTCATCCTCCCTCCTCCACTCTCCCCCGCTCCTCCTCCTCCTCGTGCCTCCCTCTCTCGTTCCTCGTCCTGGTCCTGTCCTCCTCCTCATTCTCTCATCCATGCTCCTCCTCATCCCTCCTCCTCCTCCCCTCATTCCTACTATCCTCCTATCATCCGAATCCTTTTTGCGCTCCCGCCTGCTCCTCCTCGTCCTCCTCCTCCTCCTCCTCCTCCTCCTCCTCCTCCCTCCTCCTCCGCTCTCTTCGCCCCTCCCTCTCTCCTCGCCCATCCCTCCTTCCCTTCCTCGCCCCTCCGGAAGCTCCGGTCGCCGCGGCGGGGAGGCGGCCGTGGCCTGGTCTTCGACGGCGCCTTCGGGACGCCTCGCCCGCGCGGCTCGTCCCGGGGGCGGCTCGGGGGGGGGGGACAGCGAGAGAGGGGAGGCGGACAAGTTAGGTGCGCTCGCGTCAACATCTGACATCCTACCCCTCCCTCCCATCCCTTACCATGGCGCTGATTTTCTCTATCCGCGGACGCGTGTCGTAGCGGACCTGTGGCTCCGCGCGCGTGTGCGTAGTGGGTGGTGCTGCGCGTGCGTGCGTGCGTGTGCAACTACTCGTCCCGTGACGTAGGTTGTAGGTTGTTGTGGTGGGTGGGGTGTAGTGTGTGTGTGTGGCGTTGCAGTGCGGGTGTGCGTGTGTGGCGGCTTGGTGGTTGGTGGTGGGCCAGGTCGCGTAAGTGAGTGATAGGCGGTCGTGGTGGTCGGGTGGCGATGGGGTTGTAGGTGGGGGTGTGGTGTGTGTGGTGTGTGTGTGTGTATGTGTGTGTGCCGGGTGTGTGAGTGTGTGTGTGTGTGTGTGTGTGTGTGTGGGCGGGCGGGCGGGCGGTGCGGGCGGGCGTGCGTGCGTGCGGCGTGCGTGCGTGCTGCGTGATGGTCTGTGTTGGTGCGCGCGTGCGATGTGGTGTGACGCGGTAGTAGATGTGGTTGTTGGTGGGTGGGGTAGTGCGGTTGGGGGTGCGGTGCGCGGTGTTGGTGTGCGTGCGTGCGTGCGTGCGTTGGTGGGTGGAAGTGGCGTTGGGTGTGCGTGCGGCGGGGCGGGGCGTGGTGCGGCGCGGTGGTGGCGGGCGGATGGGCGCGCGAGACAGAGAGGCCCGCGCTGGGGCGAGAACGCCATCCTGAACGACGGAGGCAAAACACCGATCCGAAAATGAGGCCCACGATGCAGCGGGAGCACGATTCGGAACGATTCGGGAGCAGAAATGAGGCCGGCGCCTCAGCGAGAGCAACATTTTGAAAAAACGCAGGCGAAAACCCAACTCCCGGGAATCCTGTGTGTTCAAAAACAGTACGCGGGGGGGGGGTCTAATATTCCCAGGCCGCCTTCGGGGGAAGAGGGAGAGTAGTATTCATATTGAGTAATTGTAGAGGGAGGCCGCCAGAGGAGGAGGAGGAGGAGGAGGACGAGGAGGAGGAGGAGGAGGAGGAGGAGGAGGTGACGAGGAGGAGGAGGAGGAGGAGGACCAGTGTAAACCCAAGAGCCATTAACGATGTTGGAACACACCCTCCCACCAGGCTCCCTCTTCATAGGCCCCTACAACGGTTCAATTCCATTGAGGGAACTGTTTCGTTGGAAGGCAATCGTTTGAAGACCCTGATACATGCCAAACCAGTGTTCTCGGGATCACAACGCCACGGATCAACCTGACTGTTGCTTTTTCAAAATCCTCAACCGTGCCAGAACGCCATTCTTGGGACTTCAGCATCGCGAACGAACGTGACTGTTGCACCCTCATAATCCAGAATCCTTCCAAAACACAATTGCTCGTATTTTGATCATGGGATTCTGTGAGGCTCTGGGAAATGTTTAAAAGGAATGTGCGCGGCGCTAAGGCGGGAACCATATTTTGAACAGGAACGGCCTTCAATCTGTAAGACTCTGGTCAACTTCTTAAAACGAACTTGCGCGGCGCTAAGGCGATATCAACATTTTGAATACGGGGGCCACTCAATCCGTGAAGCTCTTGCAAATTTTGAAACGAATGTGCGCGGCGCTAGGGCGAGAGCAACATTTTGAAAACCACCCGCCCTGAATTCGTGAAACTCTTGCAATTCTTTCAAACGAATGCGCGCGGCGCTAAGGCCAGAACCACATTTTGAAAACCACCCGCCCTCCATCTGTGAAGCTGTTGTCAATTTTGAAGCTTCAGGGTCGTAAATGGTAAAGAAATCTCACACGAAACGCCCAGCCCGGCCTCGGGGTGCAACAAAGACACATTATTTATAAGGAAACGGAATAGAGGAGGAGGAGGAGGAGGAGGAGGAGGAGGAGGAGGAGGAGGAGGAGGAGGAGGAGAAGGAGGAGGACAAGGAGGAGGAGGAGGAGCAGGAGCAGGAGGAGGAGGAGGAGGAGGAGGCGGAGGAGAAGGAGGAGGAGGACGAGGAGGATGAGGAGGAGCAAGAGGAGGAGAAGGAGGAGGAGGAGGAAGAGGAGGAGGAGGAGAAGGAGAAGGAGAAAGAGGAGGATTGGGCGTGGCTTAATGGGGGGGTCACAAATGGGGGGGTCAGAAAAGGTCCCCTTTCGTGCTCCTTTCGGGCCCCTCGAGAGCCCCAGGGGGCTCGTTTAGGTACCGTTTGGGTACCTTTTCGGACCACCCTCGCCGCCCCCCTATTTATGACCCCCCCATTACGCAACGCCCAAGAGGAGGCATTTCGGAGCTTTCCGAGCGGGGCGCGGCCAACGAAAGTGGCCAAGGATGGACCGAGGAAGCAAAGATGCAAAAGTACCCTTGGGAAGGTTGCCCATCCTTACTATGCGGGTTGACTGTGCTTCCGCCGGCTACACGCCGGAGCGACCCTGGGCAAGAACGACCTTTCGTGCACGGCCAAGGGGGGGCCCTTTGGGGGACACCGCCAGCCGCGCAGGCTGCTGCTGTCGCACCGCGCTCAGCGATCGGGGGGACCTCACTGGGCCCGCACCAGAAAGTCACCCCGGCGAACGGTCCCTCCTACTCGGGGACGCACTGACTTGGCGGCGCGCGCAAGGGGGTGGGGGGCGGGGGGATGAGGCTTCTTAGAATGTGCCCGAGCGCGTACATCTATATAGAAGCCCGCGCCTTCTAAGAAGCAGGGTGCTTCTAAAGAAGCCCCCCCCCTCACCCCACCCCCCTCTGCGCGTGGCTGACTGACCCAGGTCAATCCAGACCCGGGCCAGTCGCAGTCAGGCCTTGCAGGATCCTGCAAGATCCTGCAAGGATCCTGCGAGATCCTGCAGGATCCTGCGCACAAGCCCGAGTCAATGCACCCCTGGCTCTGCAAGATCCTGCAGGATCCGGCGCTCTGGCTGACCCCCGTTTGCATTTAGCCCCGTCTCTTGAGCCCCGACTGTAGTCGACTTCCGCTGGCTTCCGCTGGCCTGACGCCGGCTTCCGCTAGAGGAGCCGCCGCCATGTAACTGAAGGCGCTCGGGGACACACACACACATAAACATAGACACAGATCCCAGGATCCCCAATCTTTTTCCACATTTTCTAGGGCTTCGTCTTTCCCTCCACTTCAAAGATTTTCCTGGGAATCGGCGATGCTGTGTGTCTGCGTGCTCTTGCCCCTCCTGACCATGTTTCGGTCGGGCCTGTCCCCCTACAGGGAGATTCTGGACGAAAAACCGAACATACCCCCAAAATACTCCAAAATGGTCAGAACATCCTCCAAACATCGTCCCCAGACTCTTCCCCCGTGTAGAGTCGGCTACACGCAGGAGTGACCCTGGGCAAGAGCGGCCTTTGGTGCGCGGCTTTGTGGGGGCCGCGGAGGGACCAAACACGAGCGCGCAAGACGCTACCGTCGCACACCGCGCTCGGCGATCGGGGGACCCCCGTGGGCCCGCACCAAAGGTCACTCCGGCGAAAGGTCACTCCTACGTCTAGTCTTTGGACGAAAGACCAACGCACACCCCCAACATACTCCCAAATGGTCAAAACATCCTCCAAACATCGTCCCCAGACTCTTTTTTGACTATTTTTAAGTCGGCAGGGGGATTTTCGACGAAAAATAGAAAATACCCCCAAAATAATCAAACAATAGTCCAAAAATAGTCTGGGGACTGTTTTTGGAATATTTTTGACCATTTTGGATGATTTTTTGAA